GAGGGTGTATTATACATAAACTTATTTGATCAATTTCAAGATTCTGCTTAGCATTAGCAGAGTCGATAATCTACATAACTGAGAAAATTGCTATCATGCCCAAGGGAGCCTAACATCAATTGCATCCTACCTACATTTTGTAATCTACTGTAAGTTCAATGTTACAATTAGCAAGCTCTGTCTAATTTGGCATTTGACAGCTAAAACCCAGCATAATTATGTTTTATGTAATTGTAGAAAACAATCCAAGTAAATTCCAGCAGAGCTGTGCTGTCAGATTGGATAACAAAGAAAATCTAAAACAAACTGGCTAAAAAAAAAAGAACTGTTCAGTAAAGAATTGCATCCTAACTTAGTGAAATGTTAGTTGGTCCATGTGAGAACTGTGCAGAACGTCAGTGCAGACATCTTACAGAAAGCATCGTTGTTTACAAAAGTGGGTCAAAGTTCCTTCAGTGACACGATACAGGGCGATAAAGTCTAGACACAGAATATGATTGCTTCAAGATACTGCTAAATGTGCTACTTCAGCATTTTAGCTTTGGTTTGATGCAGAACATTTAAAATATTAAATGTCACAGACGGTGTCCCTCTTTGCAGGGCCCGAGGTGACTGTATTGTGACGGAAAAGAAGACGTTTTTGTTTTGGCTGAGGCTTTTTATCTACCAACAATTCACAAACACTGCTAATGCTGGCCCATCATTCAGATTGTAAGGCTGTATTTAGACAGAAAAGTTGTGTTTAAATAAATGAATTACCCTTCGGTTAAACTTCAGTGACTATCTATTTTCTCTGCAGCGGTGTGCGAGCACCTTCCCTATCTCAAGTCTTTGGGGGTTGGAGCTCTGATCCTGCAGGGTGCGTTTCATAAAAAGGCAACTCCAGCTGACCTCAGTGAGGTCGCTGAGGCCCTGGAAACAACGGCTCAGATCCAACATCTGCTTGCAGAGAGCAACAAAGCAGGTAAGTAAAAGGATTTGTAGTTCCATTTTTATTTGAGTTTTCCTGCATACACACCAACAACATGTTTGGAAATTTGGTCTTTCAGGTCTAAAGGTGATGTTGAGCGTATGTGAAGTGAATCTGCAGGATCAGGAGGAGACGCCCGGAAACAAACCGTCGAACCCTTCAGCTACTGTACCAGTGAAAACGATGCAGTACAAACAGCTCGTCACACCAATGTGCTTATTAACAGGCATTTTCTTTTCCCCAGGATGCATTAAGGTTCTGGTTGGAGCAAGGTGTGGCCGGATTTGTCATCTGTGACTCCGATGCAGCATATTCGGTGGAGGTAGATACGCTACTGATGTCTTTAATCTTGGTGCGAGCGCTATTCTCATGAATTTACGTTTTTTGTATTGAACGTATCAGACTCTGCTGGAGTGGAGGAGAGTCTTTGAGGAATTTAGCACTCAGCAGGAGGAAAGGTGCAACTTGCTATCCAAGTTCTTTTTTTTTTTTTTGCATTGCAAGATGTGCAAATAAATATGCAAGTCCATATTTTACTGCAGGATTCTGTTGGTAGAACAGACGTCGGATGTTCTGCGCCCACTTAATGCCTCGACTCAGAACCTTACGTTGGTAAATGTGGTCATGAGGTCCATCTTGCCAAAGTCGGAGCAGCCTCTCTCTGCTGAGGAAGTAGCTGAGGCTGTGGAGACGCGGCTGCAGACACGACAGGAAGACGGATGGACCAGCTGGACAGTAAGATATTTTTATGCAAGCTTATTAAGTCTAACTAGACTTGTCAGTGGTTTCCAACTGCAGGTCATGAAAACTACTGTGTAGTGACTTTTAGGTTATTCCCCTCCACAATACCTGGATGAAATGAACAACTTCCTACCGGAACCCTGGAGAATTACAAGGATGAGTCGAAAAGTTGTCGAACAATCTCTTTCAAGGTCTAGTATTAATCCCCCGCTTTAGGAATGTGAGTGTGTTTTGAATAACTGAAGTGTACAGTAGGGATTTTATAAAACTTTTAAAATCTACTTGGATGTGTGATTCTTTTTTTGTGGCATGTTCACTCTATAGGAAACCAGTGAAAGGATTTTAGAACAGGACAACAGGCACTGATTTGTTCTTAAATTGCTTTATGGTCGTCTGATGACATTGTAACATAGAGCTGTGCATCATCTGCATATTTATGGTAACTGATCTCATCTGTTTATGGTCTTATTATGTAGATACTAAATGGAAGGAGCCCCTGGAAGGTGTTTGGCCTTTTTTAAGGCAAGAGCTGAAATTGTTCAACACAGAAATAGAAAATTGCTGTATTTAAGGACGCTGGAAGATTTGAGTTATTTACTTGCAACTTTGGTATTTCCTTTCATTTCAAGCCTAAATGCTGGGACTATGTTATAATTTTATATCAGGTCCTGCAAAAAATGCAACCTGAAATCTAGAAAGAAATTTAGTTGCCATATGTTTTTATTACATTTCTACAAAGACTGGTTCTAAAACTACTTGTCATATATTTTATATATTTTTCTTGTCATTAGGTTTCTTTTTTTTTACCAGTATCAGAATTCAGTGGCAATAAATGCATTCATCCTCTTTGCAAAAGTTTTTCTTCTTTTTAAAACTTGAAAACAGAAATAAAATTGTGCCTTTAGAAAATAATATTTCTTATATTAGATATTTTTAAAAAAAATCTTTTTCTTTTTGTTTAGAAGGGGATTGAACATATTCATCTTTACATGGCAGAATTGTCTCGAACTTGTAAAGACTGCAGACCCTTGACATATGAGATGAACAAAAACACAACCCTTAAATCTGGTTGTAAATTATGTTTGGAAAAGTTAAGATTCCTCCCAACTCGTTTTGATTGTGGTGTTTGCATTCCAGTAACATTTTGTAACATCTGCAGGTTGGAGGTGAGGTGCCTGTTGAGCTGAGGAGGTTATTCCTGGTGCTGATGATGACTCTGCCAGGATCACCTGCTTTCAGATGCAGGGAAGCGATCGACCACACATGGGTAAAACCTTAGCAGTCCAGATGTTATGGGATTTAAAACCCAAGAGGCTCGTGTAAAGAAATGAACCGCTATTTCCCCCACAGAGTAATGAGATAAATGTGTGACCAGATTTCTTAAGGATTATTCTCACTGTTTGTTGCCAGCTGTATATTAAAAATGCATTTTATTCCCGTTCCCTGCACCTTTCAGGACAAAGAGTCAAAGCACTTGGAAGTTGCTCTCTTCTCCACTCTCAGCCGCTCCAAATCCAGAGAAGAAGCTCTCCTCTACGGCAGCTTGATGCTCCTCCCCTTCAACATCACCCACAACTTTTCCTCACATCCGTTTTCCAACTCCTCCGTTTCTCCTCGTCCCGTCCTGGCCTTCCTGCGCTCTTGGGGTTGCGTGCAGTTCCTCATTCTGCTCAACATGCGGCCCGAGCCACTCTCCCTCGATCCGGCCTGGGCTCCCGGCCTGCCTGAAAAGGGCGTGTTTGTGGCCAGCACGGGAATGAACCACGTGGGTTCGACGTATCTGCACTCTCTTCAGCTGCAGCCTTACGAAGCCGTGGTCATCAAGCTGTTTAACCCAGGAGGCTACTCGTAGAGATTTAGCTGTGTTGATTTAATTACCAGGATATGTTGTCATAGTAGCAGGATTTTAAACATCTGGCTCATGTGCTGTGAATACCCGAGTCAAGCTTTCTGTGCTTCTCCAAGTTTAATCTGTTGGATGATGATTTAGTCATAAAAACATTTCTGCAGAGTTAAACAGATAGTTACAGGTATAGTGAACAGTTTGCATTAAGGTAGACCAAAATAACATTTTAGAAATAAAATGAATTTCTCTTGGTTATTTCACTCAGATGGTTTACATACAAATCAAGAGCCACATCCTCCTTATGTAGCTAAAGTATTTTTGCTTCAAGCCCTTCATGTGATGCTTGTTCGCCAAATAAACTTGTGGTAATTTGCCAACTTTTTTGTTTGTTTTTCTAACAGTTTTGTCTCTATAAAGCAACATGCAGGACCTTGGAAAAATATTCACACCCCTTTAATTTAGTTTGAGATTCAGCCATAAACTTGGTTGAACTTTGTGAGCTGAAAGGAAAAAAAAATCGAAACTTTTATTTTTTACTTTACAAAAATCTGAAAATTGTTGTTCTGTTTCAGCCCTGCTGAAGAATGGTGCTGCCATCACCATGTCACCCTGGGAATATGTTCCCAGGCATTTCAAAATCTGGATTTTGAAATATTGTACAGGTTTTTTTGCAGCCATTTTATAATATGTGATATTTAGTCTTTTACATACAGATTGAACAAAATGCAGTGCAGTTTGTGGTTATGATGTAGAAAGTACAATAAGTTTGGACACATTTTGCAGTGGACAGTGTTATAGATGTACCTCTATAACACTGTTATAGAAAATATTTCATTTACATTCAGGCAAATTTGACTGAAAATCTTTGCAAAATTTTGTTTTTTTTTTTGTAAAAAATTTGCCTTAAAATATGGACCCACGTGTTTGTTTCCCCCCAAGCTGACATAAATGATCAACACGTTAATCACTAACTTATCCTTATTGATAATCACTGGTTTGTTGTTAGTTTTTGGTTACCACGAGGTGGTGCTACAGCCTCACTCACAGCTCCACGGGCTGCATTATAACTCAATACATTTAAATGAGATGCTATCAGCTTTTTTTTCTTTTCAGCTCTGTTGCACCTCGGTGGAGTTTTGGAGAAGTTGGCATCAGTCCACAAATGAAGCGTTGGCAGTTTTGCTTTCTAAGAAATCCTGAGACGTCACTGTCAAATAAGGGTGAAGGTGCATATTGCTTTACAGCGCTTATAAATCTGCAAACATAAAAATGTTTCTGGCAACACTGCGACATTCCCAGTATTCTCAAAAACAAACTCAGCATCACGTTCTAAATTTAAATGATTCCTGCTGAAAATGCCAGTGACTAATCTGTATGGTTAGACCTCTTGCCAAAGAAGACCTCGCTCATTTTTATTTATGGTGGAAATATGTTTATTGCATTACTCCATTTTTACTGCTCAAACGACTACTTCACAAAGAAAGTGTGCAGGAAGAAACATGTACAAATTGCACTGGTCATGCATATAAGCAAAAGGTGACTGTATACAGTAAAATGTAAAAAATAATAATTAGAACCACTTCACCATGCCTGTTGCATTCCATGCGAAATAGGTCTTATAACAAAGAGCACAGTGACTGACCTTAAATAGAAATAGTCATAATAATCCACTCACAGTTTACTCTCTCAGTGCACGTTGAAGCAGCAGACGTTCCCAAAACCGGAAAGCTTTAAACACAAATCACTCTCGGTAGCTTTGAAATCGGCAACAGAGAGATGGAGAAGTGAAATCATGTGCATTTAATACAACTATATGGGCTAAACTACAGTGACAAACTGTCGTCTTGGAGCATCTTTCTACTTTACTGTGGGTCTAAAAAAAATACTTGAATGTTGTTAAAGCAAAGGACTGTAGATGACATTAAAGGAATAATACAATGTTTGTTTGGTTTGGTTTTAATCATAGATTCAGTAAAGTTAGAAAATTAAACTCACAAGCATAATTTATTTAGTATACCTGCTCAAGAAACTCGACTGTGGATCTGTGCAACCACACACTTACACATAAGGGCAATTTAGTACATTCATTTAGCTTAAGGTCCGACCAAACCGTCAAGTGAACATGCAAACTCTCCACATAGTTTAAACCCAGGACCTTCAGGCAACAGATTGAAACATAAAACTTTTCTTTCTACAATCATTTGCTGCAGGTGGAACAGTGTTTACTGAAATACCAACAATTTTTTACTTTTTTTTTCTTTAATGTAGGAACCAATACTTTTAAGTATTGCATTCAGGACTTTGTCATTCCATCAGTCAAAATCCAGTCTAAAATTAGGCATAAGACATTTACAAGAGAAATTCTACAAGCTTGCAGACATATCTTTAAGAGGATGTGGACATGTGACTAATTTAGCCCCAAGAGGTGTTTTTTTACTTTACTGTAGGAACTGAAAAATCCAAAAGACTAGATGAAGTGAGGCAAACATGTACAGATCGACACTTTTGCTGCCAGGCGTCAACTTGTCATCAACACCTGCTGATACAAATAGTTAAAACAGGAAGTGAAAATACGAACCTGACTAAAACCAGCACAGGATTGGTACCGGTGTCTAAGAGGGGGAGGACGATACATGTAGAGTGTACTCTATTGTTTTAGTAATGTTTTAGTCAGAGCTTGATTTACTGACACTGTTTGATAAATGTTTGCTTAGCATGTTATTGAACTTGAACATGATCATATTTGGTTAACTTATATTGCCATGAATATGGCTGTGCATAACTGGACCGGCTTGATTTCCTGAACATTTCACAGCAAATTAGAATGGAAGAGCATCTTCCGACGTTTCTGACACAAAGTTGAATAATTTACAGAAATTATAATGGGGAAAAAAAAACATTAAATAACTATTTTAGCCATTGTTAGTCATTTAAAAACAATTGAAGTTTTGAAACGGTGAAGATTTCTTTCACAAGCACAAATAATGACACTGAAGGAAGTCCAACGAACACACCTTTTGAGATGAACACATCGATGATTACACAGGATTTTTAAGATGCATTTCATGGAACACAGACATTCAATAAACATTTAGATCAGCAGCAACTCATGATCAAAACGTGGAAGAAGGAAATCTACTGATCACATATCTGCAAAGAGCACAAGTCCCACCTGAACCTGCAGAAAAATAAGATTAACACTTGACTCCATATTGTTACCACAGCTTATACTAATGTCAATGTTGAACAAGAAGCACATATGAATTAAAGTAGTTTTGCTCTAAACTGCCCGTTGTGATTCCTTTAGACAGAAACAAACTGAACACGGCTGCTCTCCATTATAACTATTTAACGTAATTTGAAGCTATCTCAATGGCTGGATTCATTTCATTGTATATTTCTGGATACGAGTCGATGTGGTCAGGTAATCGAAGCCAAACTGAATTGAGCAGACTTCAGGATGTGGTTTTGTATTATCACTTCTCTACACTTGGGTTTTTCGCACACGTTCTCAGTCGTACCGTAAAGGTCCCCTACATGCGACTCATTTTAATTAGACATACTTATGTGAAGTCGCCTTTCGATGGCGACAGTATGAGGTGAAAAGCTTCAAGTGAACAGTAGAGGTCAAAAGTTTCACTATGTGGGTGTGTGCGTGTTCAGAAAATAGTTATGAGGAAAGTGACAGCATACAGTAATGCATGTTAAATATCCACAACAGTTTATCGGAGTGCACATTTGATCCCTCTGATCGAAGCAGTTGGGCTTCGGTTTTTGGCACGACTCCCTCTGACGATGACGTTCAGAGAATCATCTGTCTTTGAATACAAGCTGTACATTCAAGATCCCTCTCACTGCAGAGGTCTGTCAAACCGTCTTTCAGACCAGACTGGACTACTTCGTCCTTCCCTGCTCCGGGTTGTGGCACAGAGTCAGTTTTGCCAGTAAGTGCAGCTCCTGTGCTCACGGGTTGCGGGGTATGGAGTGGTCGAGCGGGAAAGACAAGGCGCAGCGATCCGTCGACTTCATGGCTCCTTTGCCGAACCGGAAGGACAGCAGGGAGCAGAGGTGACGAAACACCGACTTGCGGAAAATGATGAAGACCCAAGGATCCATGATGGGGTTTAGAGAGTAAAAGCGGAACGCACTGAAGTTTTCGTTGTCTCCGGAGAATGGCTTAATGGCATTCTTAAAGCCGGCAATCTGAGGAGGAGAGAAGGTTGTGATTAGACGCAGAATTTACTTTTCTTGGGTAAAAATAAAAAGATAGACATAAAACATCTATGCTTTTTTTTGTTAGTTTTTACTTTTACGACCTGCTGCTTTGGTCTCTTCTGTATGTCACCTGGAAATCAAGCTGGAAAACTATCAGAAATATGCAAACACCTAAGAATCAAGATGATCCACGCACACATAACGACTCCTTAAAGGCCTTTCCATCAGTCATGGATGTTTGTTTGCAGAAGACCCTGCAAGCAACTCTTATCTAAAATCAGCTAATGCTCGTCTGCTGAATAGATTTGCTTCCTTGTGTTGCTTTTCCCCCACTTTGTTATTGATTTTAAAGAGTGTTTCCATCAGTGGGAGGCGAACTGAAACTGACAGTCAGGTTTTTGTCCAATGTGCAAAAGGGCAACTCGAGGAAATGGCTTCTAATAGTCGAACTTCTTCACTGAAAACTCTCCTTGAATGTCTGCCTCACAATGAAGATCACTGTCGGCTTCTTGCATCATTTAGCGATATAAAAGCCGTCATGGTTTCACACACTGCAGCCAAACGCTGTTTTACCACAACTGGTTGTTTCTTAGCAGTCAAAACATTTTGTCTGCTAAGAAACAACAGCTAAAGAGACTGATGACCCAAACTACCTGCCGAATAAACGATCATTTAATTCAAAAATGGATGAGGAGAGTAAAATAGAAAAGGCGCAACCATGAGAGAACTTACTTTTGCCAAAGCGTAGTGTGTCTGTCTGTCTAACTGTGTTTGTCTAAAATGGGAATTGTTTGTGTGATGTTTCGCAGAAGATGGCGACACCTTTCTTTTTCAGTAAATATTGATCATCTGACCATGGGAGGCAACATAATCTAGATAATCTAGAGCAAGTTTTGGTGAAGTATTTTTGCTTCTTTTTAAAGTAACGTTTCTTGGCTTTGATGACCTTCATGTGGTAGTGAAACGACAGGAAAGAGGGTTTTGAGAGAGAGGCTGGCAGTGCGGGGCAGACATGCGACCAGAAGGTCAACGGGTCGGGACTCAAACTTGTGAAAACCATCGCGATGAACCGAGGCTGCTGATTGTTTTGCAGTTTTCTCACATTTCAATAAAAAATGTGAGAAACAAATACAGTGCAGCGTTTCCTGCACTGCAGCAGGACCCAGTCCTGCTGCGGTTTATCCAACTCAGATGCCACAAAGCGCTTTCAAATATCGGCAGGCGCCTCTCTAATAAATACACATTGTGAGAATTCTGTTTCGCAACCACAAACTGACCCGAAAACAAAGACCGTACAAGACTTAACTACCAGGTTTTCTTTTGTGCCGACGTTTGAAGCTCGACAGACCGTAGGCAGGCGGCCCAGGTAGAAGAGGCAGCTGCTGGCTGCTCAGTCGCAGTGGGCAGAAAGAGAGAGAGACGCAGCAGCTGGCCCAGGAAGCTCGCCACCTTGCCTTTTCTCCTCTATCAACAATTTCCCATTTACTTCATGAAATATCCAACAAACAGTGGCCTAATTAATGACCTGTGCTGATTGAGAGCCCTTGTGCCGTGGTGTAAATGTTTTGTTTGTTGCTAGGGCCTGGACTGAAATTTAATAAGCTCAGGACGATGGGCGAGGGGCCAAAGTGAGCAAGTCCAGACGGAGGACAAATGAAACTATCGGAGGGACGAGACGCAGGCCTGACTGTGTTCGCCGCCCCGCAGTTTCACACGGAGGGGATCGTTTCCATTGACCCGTGGAGACACCAGTTGGAGATCAGGCTGGATTTAAGCTGCGTGTATTGAATTAAAATGACCGTCGTGCAGGAGGAATGGAGCTTGACATCTTATCAGTGTCGGTTTGTGAGCGGGATTGCTCACGCAGTGTTCAAAAACTTCAAAAATGACTTTAGAACAAGTGAAACTTGGTTCAGTTTGGTTGCAGTACAAACTCCATCTGGAATCAAAGCTTTGGTTAATTCAGACTTCTTGGCCACAACCTCATATTAAAGGCAAGAGCGTTCGCTGTACAGGGTGGAACCAACCAAAAGCCCAGATGTTGTTGATTTGCTTTTAATACTTAATCCTCTGGAACTTTTGGAGTTGCAAAACCAACATTGCATCACAGCTATTACCTAACACACTTGTGAGATTAATTAAGAGTGTCGAGTTGTACACAACAAGACTCCATTTTACATTAAGCACAAAGAAAACTGTGATAAACCAAGCCAAGTTAGCGTCTCCCAGTTCTCCCTGAAGCCGCTTGCATTTGCCACTATGAATTTTATGAGCGCTAGCCGTCCAGGAGGTCACTTTGTAATCAAATGAGCTCTTTGCATATAATTTTGTGAGTTCTTCCATTTGCAAGTTTCGGATTCCTAAAACTGGATTGTATGTTATCGATAAAGGTGCATGCACATTAAAGCAACTCCTGCAGCTTCTAGAAAATTTATGTGACTTTTCACTTAAAAGAAAGCATAAATTTAGCACATTTAAATCGAGACATTCAATAAAGTAGTTCATTTTTTCGGTGTTTAATATCATTTATCCTGAGGGCCAATGTCAATTCTGACTTATTTCTATTCATTTTGATGTACAATTACAAACTGAGTGGTGCATATTTTTTAAGCTGGGAAGCAGCAGGTACATGGCCTTCGCATTCAGTGCAACAAATAGTTTTGCACACCGTTACTCACCATATTCATCCAGCTCTTTGTGTCTGTAGTTATGAGGAAATCCCATTTCCTCCTTGTCGTCAGCTCCAAAAATTCACTTTAGTTCATGAGGCATCGAAGGGAACCGAGAAGTGGAAGCAGATGTTACATATGCCTCTTTGTTTTACAATGAAATGACTGAAATTTCATTGTAAATTCAATAAAATTTTCACCTCTGTACCAATAAGTCAGAAGTGTTTCATTCCTTAAAAATATAACCACTCTGTAAATTACTTTCTGGACAGAAAACAGATAACCGAAAACTCGCTAAATAAGGTTATCACAGCAATAAAGTCGTCAATTTAACCAACCAGCGAGTTATTATGTCACTCTGGGTTAGCATCTATGGTTTGTCACATAAACAATCCAAGCAGATTAATATCATTACTCATTCATTTCAGAATTAAATTTCTCATTCTGAATAATGAGTAATGGCTGAATAACTATTACTCATTATTATTGAATAATCTAGCACCTACAGATTGGTAAGTCACGTAAAAGACAAATGAAAGCCTTTCAGAAAAGTTGTTTTTCCCGCTGCTTGCTGAGAACTGGTCTGGACCAGACGGGCTTTGCGAGCCACTATGAGGTCCTACAAGCTCTCCTCTCTTCAAGGGTGACTGAGAGCTACGTGTCTGTGTGCAACTATTTCCAAAACATCCCCTTCTTTATGGAAAAACACTGCAAAAACACAAAATATCTTTTGTCTGGTGTAAAACATTCTAATATACTTGAAAAAAGACAGAATTAACTTTTCCGCAAGATAATATCCGGTTGTTTTAACAATAATTTCTTAATATTGCCAAAAAAAGGGACTCTGTGGTTCCACCGGCAGATTATTTCACCGATAAGAGAAAAATGTGTTGTTTAAATTAAATAATCTGCTGGTGGAACTAGTCCTTTTTAAAAACAAATAGAAAAACATATTGCTAGAAGGTTACTTGTAAAAGAGTTTGTCATATTGTATTAAAAACCAAAGATGCCAGGTAAGATTTTGTGTTTTTGCAGTGAAGAGGAAGAAGTAAAGTCAAGTGATAGGATACTTTACAGCAGCAAATTAAAAAGGTCAAAACGACGCTTTATGTAAATCCTTTACTGACGAAGGCATGACGCAAAAATTGGATTAAGATGAAATATCTCAGACGTCTTTGGGAACAATAGTGAGCGATCCCTTAACAGCCTTGGCTTCTGATCAAGAAGCTGCTCTTGTTCAGCGATTTATTTCCACACAAAGCTATCATCCCGCCTAATTCATCACGCAGCCGTGCCAAAAACATTTCAAACACACACGCGGGCTTCACGCGGCCGCCCCCCTCGCTTAGCGTCCCGCTCTGCGTTCGCCAACCCGGCTCTGGCCTGCGCTCCTGCATGCCACCCTGCCTCTTATGGTGCTCTCGGCGGACTTTGGAAACAAATTACGAGCCGCTCTCTTTCTGCGGGCTGTGGGGCCGAGACTGATGACATGTCAGGATCTCCTTAAACAGGAGCATAATAATGTATCACTGGGCGTTCAGAGAGCAGAGCAGAAGCAGAGCGCAACAGAACAGAGACGGGGGCCATGCAGGTGCACTTTAAATGTTCCAATTATGAACATGCTGAAGGATATATTAGGCCTGCAAAAGCAAATGTGCTCATGCACACACTGTGTAAACAGCTCATAGTTGCAAACCATCTGCAAGGTTTTTGCATGTAAAGGCCTCGGAGTTAAAGGAAGCTTCACCAATGATGCAGGTACACTTTGATGCAAAAGTATTAATTTTCCACCCAACATATTTAGCTCTAGAAAAAATGAAAAGCCCACTGCTCATTTTCTTTTCTTTTTTTTTCTACAACCAATAAAGTATAACTTCACAAGATGCTCAACATTCATCAAATAATTTTTTTATTTTATCAGATTTATCAGATTTCTCATAAAAATACGTCTTAATTTTCATATAACTATGACTTTATTTTCGTATTATTTGAAGTTAATTGAAAACCTCACGGTTATTGAAAAGCTTCAGGTTATTTCACCAAATATTGATTTCTGAACGCTTCCTGAATGAAAACATTAGTGTTGTTTTATCTAAATACGTTTAAACTTGTTTTCTTTGCATTATTTGAAGCACTGCATCGTTTTTATTATTTTGACCATTTCTCCTTTTCTGCCCGTAAATGCTACATTTTTGCTTAGGATTTCAGAGACGGGCTCTCAGTAGTTCGTAGGATAAAAGAACGATGTTCATTTTATTCAAACATTTACCTACAAACTGTAAAATCAGAGAAACTGGTAATTTTCAGCGGTCTCTTAAT